CATCCACCCATCCATCCATCCATCCCTCCATCTATCCACCCATCCATCATCCACCCATCCATCATCCATCCATCCCTCCATCCATCCACCCATCCATCATCCATCCATCCATCCATCCCTCCACCCACCCATCCATCCATCCATCCATCCATCCATCCATCCATCCATCGTTCATCCATCCATCCATCCATCCATCCATCCATCCACCCACCCACCCACACATCCACTCCTCCATCCATCCATCCCTCCATCCATCATCCAACCATCCTTCATCCATCCACCCACCCATCCATCCATCCATCATCCATCCATCCATCCATCCACCCACCCATTCATCCATCCATCCATCCATCGTTCATCCATCCATCCATCCACCCACACATCCACTCCTCCATCCATCCATCCATCCATCATCCACCCATGCATCCATTTCCTTAGCATCCATCCATCATTCCTCTGGTTTTACACTCACTTATCCCTCTATCCTTTTACCTATCTATCCATACAGCTACCCATCTATTCCTTTATCTGCCCCTACATCCATCCATCCATCCATCCATCCATTTCACCCACCTGTCAGTCCTCCACCCATCCATTCCATGTCCATCATCCACCTAAACACCCATTCATCCATCTGCCTACACGTTATCATCCATCTCTTCACGTTTTCTTTCATCCGTCCCTCCATCCAGCAGACTTTATGGATGTCAACTACGTACTCCTAAGGGGGCTCTGGTTTCCCAGTGGGGAAGAAACCACACTGCCAACTCAAAGCCGGGCAGCTGGAATCAGCCGCTCCTCAGGAGAATGATAGGCAATCTTCCCCCAGGTGGTTCACAGCCTCTGGAAACCCGCTGGGGGGTCAGCCGTGAGTCAGTTCTCACCCTGCAGTGGCGAGCTGAGCTTGATTATGAACCAAGACTCCCTTGTTCTTTATGCATGCTGGATATGAAACTCTTATCAGATCCATGTTTGTAAATATTTAGGTGCAGCAGTTCTTTATATATTCTGGCCAGTAAATCCTCATCGGATAAATAATTTGCAAATCCTTAGTTCTAAGGATTTTTAATATAGTCTACATATTAAACCTTATTGGATACATAATTTGTAAATATCCACTTGTGAGAGTTCCTTATAGATAGTCTTAAGTATTAGCCATATCAGATAAATGACTTGTAAACAGTTACAGGGGTTTTAGGAACTGGGGATTATGCTCTGATGATATATACTGTAATAAAGATGGACTAGAGCTTTGTAACTATTTTAAGTCCATCACTCCTCCTGGGAAACATGACGTTACAGCCCTGCTTATTCCCATTTTACAGATGAGGAAACTGCAGCTCAGAGGTAATAACCTGGTTAGGGCCGCCTGGGCAGAGGAGGGAGGGCCTGTGACCTAGGGCCACCAGGGAGAACCCCGTGGTGCTGGCTGAGGGCTTCTGGTCCTGCTGTTTGATGACGTGTATTTTCACATCCTCCACTAAACCCTAGGTGCTCGAGGTGGGGACCGTGGCCTGTCTTGTACCCACAATCACCCAGTGACAGAACAACAACACAGTGGCACTGAGGAAGGCGGGGATGCCTCCGGCCGCTGTGACCACTGTCCCTCACGTCCCTTCTGTAGTTATGGGAACGCTTGCTTGGTCACCCAGCAGCTCCAGGGTCTTCCTGGAACCTGGCATTAGCCAAGGCCAGGCACTGACCCATCAGTTTGAGTCGTCATTTTTGTCCATGAATGTAGACCCTCCCTAGGTGCAAGGAAGTGAGGGTGAGGGGCACAAGGGATCTGTCTGTGGAGCTGGGGGTGAAGGGAGCCCCAGAAAGAAAGCAGAGGTGGGGGAGGGTGGATGAAACAGGCGAGCGCTCCCCCACAGTTCACAAGGCCGCCCTGTCCTAACCGCTGGTTCTGGTTTGTTCTCTCTCTGAATGGTAAATTCCTCGAGAATAAGCATCGATCCGTCAGCGACGCTGTTGCCCAATACCTAACACGTTCCCGGCCCATTAGTAGAGCTCAATAAATAACAGTGCAGGTTGTCCCCCAGGGACAATGCTAGTGACTGGTGACA